TGCACATTTATGCAGTTATTACATCTTTTTTAAAACAGTTTTATCTAAAAATGCTTTTTTGTTCCCTGAACACATCTACTTGTTTCAGGAAACGTCTGCCAATGACACCAGGACTTTTAATCAAAATTAAGACATTATTTACTTAAAACAAAACTGAAAAGTTACCTGCAATTTAGTTTTGTCTTATTCCAGGTGTACTAAGATATTTGGACTAGAAACTAGACAGAAGTACTTGTTAAGATTTTGTGTTTTTGCAGTGCAGGGTGCATCTGTGTGTTTCTGTGTGGAGTTTGAACGTTTTCTCCCTTTACTGAGTGACCAGCTTTCTGATGCGCTGTGGCGTCACTGTTTGAGTGTATTCATATGGAGAAACTTTAAAAAGTAAAAAGGAAAAAAATTACAAAGGCTTCCTGTCCCTTTTGCTTTTGGAGCACAATGCGTGAGGAGCGAGAGGGAGCCGTCTGAAATCAGATACTGAAGCAAACACCTGCAGGGCGAAATGGAGCATCAGTGAATGAGTCTGTAAATAAAAATAATGCCTAACCGTTGCCATGTTTTATTCTGGATAAACTATACTGACAACCTTTTATTATGATATCTTTTAAATCATAAGAAGTGCTATTCCATCAGAGGGTAACTTGTACGGCCTTAAAGTTTTATTGCAACATTTTGTGCTTTTACTGTGACAACAATAAAAGTGACGACAGGAACTGCACTGCAAAAACACAATTCTACCAAGTATTATTGTCTGTTTTCCAGTGAAAATATCTTAGCATCGCAAGTTACTCATTGGGTTGTTGCTAGGTAACCAAAGAGTTAGTGAGTTAGCTTCGCTAGTTAGCGGCTAACGTATTTCCTCTGCCTACATCCCCAGAATCCTGTGTGGTTCTGAATCAGAGTTCAGTGAATGCTCTATATATCAAAAATGTAATTGTCTGTTTATTGATCACTTGTCCATTGCCATATATATTGTTATTGATTTATTGTCCAGACATACTTGCTGTATGTCCAAGTGATTTGTTCCCAAGTCGGGCAGTAATATCTTGTGACTGGTACAGTCATGACTTCGGAAGGCTTTGATCCAAATCACGTCAGGCTCAGCAGCGGATGCCGCTTTTCTTTTTACTGCTTGTTTTCCGTCGGCTCTCCAGACTGCATTCGCCTCAGTTTCTGGCCCTGCAGATGTACACGGCTCCAACCGTTTCTGCCTAACCTGGCAGGCGTGTTCAGACATGTATGCACAGACGGTTCGAGTGCTGACACCATGTGAAATTGCAACCCCTTTTCATCTGGTGGAGACATGCATATTCACAGACGCATGAGTGTGAAGAGCCATGAAAAGAACTTTAAAATCGATTCTGTGTGAATTCTGGAGAGGCTTTTATATTATCCTCATGCTGAGAGGAGAGGACGCAGACTGAGAGGATGTTCAGACGTGTAGGGGGTCGAGGAAGGGTGGTCTGCTTTTCATTTTAATCTGTAATGACTGCAGCAATTAAGCAGTTAAGTTAAATACTTAAATTCTTCCAACATGTTTCCTAAATCAGCAAAATGAACAAATGTGACCAGTGCAATTTTGGGATTCGGCCTCAGGCTGCACGGGGTCGCTTAGTGACCCGTTGACGAAACCACAGAAGGAATAATTTGTTTATCTTGGAAGGAAACTGCTTCCTTACTGGCTTTTTTTGCAGGAAATGGAAGAGAAAAACATATTGAAGTAGAAAATCTAATTTCATGGTCATTGGTATAAGCCATTTGTTTTTCTAGCTTATATTATAAAGTGATTTGTCTGACACCATTCAAATATATATATATATATATAAAAAATTGCAGTACCATATAAAAAAGTCAGTGACTAATTTAAAATTAAAAGTAGCTAAACTTGAAAAAGATTAGCTGGATAACCTTTGACCTTTATGTTTTAGTTTTAAAGCATTCTGGGTATTTAGTAGTAGCGGTTCTGGATCTGGAGCAGTTTTGCCAGAAAACCTTATCCTTTCATTCAGTATTCTTCAGTCCACCATCTCAAAACAGGGGAAAGTTTCCCATAGATCTCTGTTGAAGTGTAAGTCACTTTAAAATGTAAAATTTTTTAAAGATCTTTTGGAAAAACAGACAAGAAGAGCAAAAAGTAAGAATTGCTCCGCTTATTTTTGAAGTTAAAGGAGGTGCATTGTGCAAATTATTGTAGCACATTTTGGTTTCTGTGGCTCCTAAAAGTCCAAACGCTTAAAAAGACAAGCGCATACAGACAGGCTTTGGCAATAAATTAATGCTTTGGAGTGACTGAAATGAAATGAAACCTCCTGAATGTAACATCACCAGCTGATTACCTAGCAACCCCTGCAGAGTTCCAGCACATTTGGTTGTCCGGTTGTACAGCTGTAAAATGGTTGCTGGAAGAGACAAGTGTTTTTGTTGTTGACTCATCATTCAGAAATCACTTGCTGTGTTCTTGTTGGTTGTGCAGGAGACTCTATTTCTGCTTTTCAAAGATGAACGATGGTATGACTGCGCCATTTTTCAGATGGGAGTGTAAACGTTTCATTTGGGCTGCATGCATGGCAGCAGCTTATTTGGACTTAAAGTGACAAGATACCCTGAAACAATCAATGTTCTGTTTTCTCTCATAACTCTGGAGAACATTTTTATCTTTTCCCGACTTGGCAGCCTAACTGGAACATTTCAGTCCTCGTCCCTTACGGTCCGGTCTTGTCTGCGACCCGCTGGCTCCAAGTCAAAAGCCTCCTAATGCCCAACTCATCTCTCTCTGTTCCTTTCTGACCCAAAATCCAAACTGACCCAGTTCTGTGGGAGCCCGGACCTTCCTGCTGGCCCACATCAAAGCCTCATTCACCCCAAACCTGAACTGCATGGCCCCTGACTATGCTCGATGTGGTTCCCATCTTATTCAGCTATTAGAAACCTGACCCACTTTGTTAATAGCTAACTACTAGCGCATCTAATTGGGCCATAATTACTTCCTAATGGCTGCTTTGTTTCCTGCTGCTCACATTAAACGCTGAAGAGGAGGAGAAAGCGAAGGCTGCTTTGTGAGTGGAGATTCCCAATTAGGACATGAAAGAACTGGCAACATGAATAAAAGGGGAGATCCTCATGAAAATGTGCATACAGTATAAAAGTGTGTTTGTTTCCCACTATGAATAAATGCTGGTGTGAATAAAACATTCATTCTTTGGACTGATACTTTATTTTGAATAAGACGTAATTCAGTCTGTAGTTTCACTATGCCTTTTATTTAAATACTTGTCCAGTCATTTCTGATAATTGATTACATTTCTCACTAAGCCTGTGGAGCAATATCCTATAAAAACAAGCAGATATGATGAGGAAAGCTCTTAAAAAACAAGAATGTTGCTCTGCACTGCAAAAACACAAAACCTTAGCAAGTATTTTAGTTTAGTTTCTATTGCACACATATCTTATGCAATATGATAAAATAATTCAGAAGTAGCTTTTCAGCAAGATTTAGTAGTTTGTTTTAAGTCACTAATTCCTTAATGTTGATTAAAGATATTTGCAGTAGAAACTACACCAAAAATATCTGGTAAGATTTTGTATTTTTGCAGGGTGGTGTAGGTTTTGCCTGAAATTAAAAATGACAGTCATGGTTTCATTTTTTTCCAAAACCAAAACTGTGACTTTTTAACTAGGGGCTTTTTTTAAATATCTTGGCTTATGCACAATATAAACAGTCTATCCAAGTTATCTCTAGTTTCCAGTTGTAATAAGATAACAGAACAAATAGATTATGTAAACTAGAGAAAACGGCTGCATGAGAGACTTGGCCTGAAGACCTTGTCTGTGTTGTCTCACTGTGGTGCGGGTCTTTGTCCGCCCCGCTCAGGCCCTCTCTCTCTCTCTCTGTCTCTCTGTCTGGCAGTTGGTGTTTGAATATTCAAATGTTGCCGGTTGGAGCTGCAATGTGCATGTTCCCAACCTCAGAAACCCTCAGGATAGTTTTACTTTCAGACAGGCTGCAACTTTTAGCAGGAAGATCTGTGTTTGCTCCCGGTAAGTTTGCTTCTTGGGTCACATGGTGCAGATTTACGCAGGAACTAAAGCGAGGTGTTGCAAGATTATTTCTGTTTTTAGACGAGGTTGAGTTCATGCATCTTGCTGTTTTTTTTTTTTTTTTTTTTTTTTTTGCAGAGCAGAAGCACTCTGACCAAAAGCAGGCCTTATAAGTGCAGCAGCACTGCTTCTTGATGTGGCTTACTTGGAGAGGCTTGAAAGCACTCGATTCTGCTCCGCACTGCTCTTCTAAACAGTTTATGATGGACTCCCTTATTGTTATTGCTACGGGTTTTTTACAACAAACTCAAGGCAGGTTTATCCCCTTGCACACGGGTGTCTAACTTTTGTACCAAGGATCAAACTTCCAAGTTGCAGGTTCTCAAGAGCCAAATTTTCTCCAATTAAAAGCAGAAAAAAATTGTTTTGTGATTATTTTCTTCTTTATATGCACAACAATAAAAAGCAAGTAATACTTTAATGAAACAGGCATAATGACATTTGTCTTAATGATTATTTTTAAGTATTTGTTAAAATTAACACTATGTTGTAATAGTGTAATATTATACAGGTAAACATTTACAACATGCTATGATAGCTGTGTAGTGATTCACAGCGCTAAGTCCCGCCTCCTGGCTCTGATTGGTTGTTTCTAGTCAGCACTGGAAGAAGAAGACAGAAGAGCTCGATTTTTTTTTTCTTTTTCCACAAATTATCTGTCTTGTGCCAAACTGTCACAACATGTGACAGTTTTAAACAAATATGTAGTTGTATTAACCTTCCAGACCTCTCAGGTCTTCTGGTTCTGGTTCAGCTCTGCATCCCCAGAACATGGAGAAGCAGCATTCAGCTTCTATGCACCACAATCTGGAACAAACTTCTGAAAAACTGCAAAACTGCTGAAACACTGAGTCCCTTTAAATAAGTTCTTCATTGTTTGGTAAAATGTCTGTTGTTTGGTGCAGATTCCTTGGACGGCATGACCTCACAGCTCTCTGTGATGACTGAACATGCTTCGTCGTCTGCAGTGACCATCGGCTCCTCCACCAGCGTCCTATCTGCTACCTCCCACCTGGTTCCTCCATCTTCCTCTCCTCCTCCCCGTCTACCGCCATTCCCCCAACCCAACAGCAGCAGCAAACCCTGGAGGAGCAAGTCAGTGAGCGCCAAGCACACCAACGCCCAGCCGCCATCGTCCACTTGCAACCCGCATCTGTAATGCAGTCCAACAAGCCAGAGAAGGACGCATCAACCAAGGTTGAAGCTCCTCCCAAAGCTGCCACCCAGAAGTCGATGCTTGAGAAACTTAAGCTGTTCAACAGCAAATCAGGATCTAAAGCGGCAATGCCCCACCGGACAGCGCCGCCCCAGTCCGGACACCTCTGGAGAGATTGGAAAACGGCTCCAACACTGACCCTTTAGAGGAAGAAGACGGCAACCTGCGACCAGGGATGAACGGGACGACAGCTCGACAACTGCCAGCAGCCCAAAATTGCTCTGAAGGGCATTGCCCAACGCACTTTCAGCAGAGCTTTGACTGCCAAGAAGGGTTCAGTGAAAGGCCTGGACAAGGAGAAAGGAAGGAGAAGGAGAAAGGGAAGGAGCTGGGCAACGCGGCTCTGACAGAACGGAGCTAAGGGGGGAGCTTAAGGAGGAAGTAACGCCAATTCCTCCGGATGTGGAGGCGTCCAACAAAAGACGTCCAAAATTGCTAGTTTCATTCCAAGGGTGGAAAAGTAGCCAAAAAGGAGAGTTCCACCCCAGCACAAAGCGGAATACCAAAGCCAGGAGGCAAAGCCCCGGGAGCTGGGGGCAAAGCTTCTTCAGCAAAGGAGGCGGCGGAGAGGCCTCGGAGCATGCGGCTGGGCGGAGGCGGGCTCGCCATGCACCGCGGGACTCTGGACAGAGACAGGGACAGCAGGCACTCCAGCTCTACCTCCAGCTTGGCCTCCACTGAAGGGAAGTCCGGCGCCGCCCCGGTGGCGGGTTTAGGCACTACGCAGAGCACGGCCAGCAACACTGTCAGCGTGCAGCTACCTCAGACGCAGCAACTGCACAGCCACCCCAACACGGCTACTGTCGCACCTTTCATGTACAGGTAGGAGGCCGGATTATCCTGGGAGCTTAAATATTTGTGAACAGCACAAAGGTTTGGTTTTGGAGGAGGAGCTGCATGAATCGTTGCAAGAGTTATGACTTTAATCTCAGAATTCAGACTTTTAAGGACAAAATTTAAAATGTTTTCTCATAATTTTTACTTTTAATCTGTTCCTTAAACTCATAATTCAGATTTTATTCTTACACTTCTGACCTTTTTTCAAAATTCTTGCTTATTTCTCAGGTTTTTGGAATCTCATTGAAATACATTGAAATCCAGCAAAACATATCGATTCTTTTGGTTGTAACATGACAAAATTACAGAATGAACACAATTAGAAAACATTGCGTAACACAAAAAGCTAATTTCCTTTTGTTTGCTTGTCAAATATGTATTTACTGTTTGTGTTATGTCGACTTTGCCTCCCATAAACCATAATCCTACAAAAATGCAGAAAGTTTCACTGAAAATAAACCAAGTAAGTGTTATTTTATTGCTAAAACATTTTTTGTGGATAGTGAGTCGTTAAAATTCAGACGTTATTTCTCCTCAGTGACTCTAAAGGCTCAGCTGAGTTAGTCAGCGAGTCTGGAGTCGGGCAAAGAGCAAAGGCAGCACATGAGCGAGACATTCAAACGTCACAGTTCAGCCGCAGCGTTGTATTGATTTATCCTTCAGAGACAAAACGTCTGAACTCTGAGGCTTTAGCAGGCATTCGCTTCACGCCGCAGTCACAAGACTTGAAATGCAGCAGATTTAAAGTCTAATCAGGTTTATCCCTCCTTCGTGACAATTTTCTGAATATCAGGTTCCCCCTAAGTACGCCATAATTCACAATCAAAATGATTCCCTCACTTTAATCAGTCGCACAATTTGTTTTCTGGCAGAACACAAACAGATGGCGAGGGAACGGTGAACTCGGAGAGCGGCTCAGTGGGAAGGCGGAGACATTTCCTGCTCAAAGACCAGCCAGACCTCCATCGAAGACCTTTCAGGTAGGCAGTGCCTGCTTCTGTCCACGTTTACATTTTAAATCTCAGTTTTATTACTTTTTTAAAACAATGTTTTGCTCAGGTGAAGACCCAGAGACCAGACGGCTGCGGACCGTCAAAAACATTGCAGACCTACGGCAAAATTTAGAAGAGACCATGTCTAGTCTGCGGGGAACTCAGGTCACTCACAGGTAAATAATAACAAAAAATACTGATGGTTAAATATTAAACCGCAACTGACTGCACTTACTTTCTCATCTGAACATAGAGGCATCAACTAAATTTTATTTTAATAATCTTTTTCAAAAAAATGATGGTGATAATAGTCCGGATGCACCGATCCACTACTTTCCAATACGATACCAAAATCTGACAGGGTTTTTCAGCCCTATTTTCAATCTTCTGCCTGTTTTTTTGTTGCGGTTCTGTTAATAAAATTCCCATTTTTCTACTTTCATTTATCTGATTACTCTTTGCTTGATTGTTTGTTTTTTAAATTACATTTTTTTCCTCAGTACTCTGGAAACCACCTTTGACGGCAGCGTTACGACAGACATCAGCAGTGCCGGCGGCGGCGGATTGTCCGGCAACAGCAGTAGCGGCGGCGGGAGCGGTCGAAGCATCCTCAGCCTTACCTCCGCCCGCTCGTCGCTGTCACCGTGGCGACTGGGGCAGTCCAGCCCTCGTCTGCAGGCGGGCGACGCCCCTTCTGTTGGGAACGGCTACGGCGGGCGAGGCGGGCGCTACCTGTACCCTGGGCACCTGCGGAGGCAGCTGGCCGGCAGGGGCGGTGCTCTGTGCAGCGTGGAGCTGGGGGACAGAGCTGGAGACGAAATGGAGCTGGACGGCCCCGCCGTGGAGGTCACCGGCTACATGAGCGACGGAGATGTGCTGAGCAAGAACGTCATGCGCACTGACGATGTCACCAGTGGGTAAGTGGGTGGAGGCAGCAGATTTTACTTTCACTGTTTTTGTACTTCCGTTTGCGTTTCTACTACTTTTAAAATCAGCCCAAGCCTTCAAATAACAAAACAGAATGAAATGTTACAAATCAGCAGGCTCTGCCTGTTACCTAGCAATCCCGAAAACACAGTCGGTTACCTAGCAACACATACTGAGCTCCAACATGTTTGGTCAGTTGGTTTTACCTCTGTATTTGATGTACAATGGCCACTGGAGAAGAGGAGCAGTATTTTTTTTTTGTTGACTTTTCATCCAGGAACCGCTTGCTGCTTTCTTGTTGGTTGTACTGGAGGCTCCGCTTCTGCTTTTCAAAGGTTGTATAATTGCTCATCTTTTTGGATCTATTTAAAGTGACTGTTGAATCTGAAGGGAACTGAAAAAAGGCAGAACAGATCAGACTGAAATGTCATTATCTGAGAATAATTTTATGCCAAAAAATGTAATGAAAATGTTTTCAGTAGACCATAAAACTATCCTAACCTGTTCAGGGAATTATAACAGATCACTTTTAAAGGTTACGACGGCTAATTGAATATATATTTTATATACAAGTTCAAATGTTGGTGTTTTAATGGTTCATATACAGTTTTATAACAAACCAGAAGAGGGCAGTAGTGTTCCTTAATGACTGAACTTCTAAAAATACATATAAAGGACATATTGACTCAAAACAGGCTTTTATATTTAGTTAAAAAGTTACTTGTAAGTTAGTTGTTTTAAATTTTTTTATTTTAAGTGTTATAAGATATTTTGCACTAAAAATAGACCAAAAATGCTTTGCATTATTGTGTGTGCAGCTTTTATAACAACATTTATCTACAATGATTCAAAGCCAACATGCAGGATGTACCATCAGAGGCATTAATGCTGATCATCAGATCCACTGTTTATGTTTCTTTCACAAACCCACTGTCTATGTTATAACATGCTCTTTGCATATTTTGGCTGTTACACTTATCCAAAGCTCTGCTGTCATCGTTGTTGTCAGATGAAGAGGTAAAGGCGCCAAGTTGGCTTCAGACTGAAAGATTCAGATGAAGTTTGGAAAACATCTGCATGAGTCTGACCTGATTTCCAAAAGGAGCCTAAAGCAGAGGCACCGGAAGCTAATGCTTCAATTTTATGTCTGATTCACATTTCCTGGTGAAATATTTCCTGTGAAATATTGCTGTATCAATATTTACAGTAAACTTGTTGATTTTATCTAGTTGTAAACCGACTAGATAAAATCGTTCGAGGCAAATGGTCACTAATTTTTATTTCGTTTTCAGTATTTGGATCTGCATTAGTTCACAACGCAGTTTTTGCTCAAAACAAAATATTTTTCATCACCAAATGATTTCTGGATTGTTGGTCAAAGTTGTTCTGGAAGGATGTTTTCATACTTTGTTCTTTACTGCAAAAATGCAAAATGTTACCAAGTATTTTTGTTCTAGTTTGTAGAGCTAATATCTTAATACACTTGAAATTAAACAAAACTAACTTACAAGTAACTTTCAGCAAAATAAAGGTGCTTGTTTTAATATTAATTCCTCAATATCGATTAAAAATGCCAATTCCAAAGGCAGCTTGTTTCACTTTATTAAGGGAAAATGTCTTACTGCAGGTAAAAAAATAAATCTATTACTTTTTAACAATATCAAGAAATGATTCACTTGAAACAATCGTTTTGTTCTTATTTCCAGTGTATAAAGATATTTTAACTACAAACCTGACCTAACTTGGAAAGACTTTGTGTTTTTGAAGTGAAAAGACAAAAAACTGAAGCAGAAATGCAGAATTACTGTCCGCACTGCAAAAACAAAATTTTACCAAGCAATTCTGGTTTTACCACAACATTTTTTCCATGTTATAAGTGAAAGAATCTGCTAGTGGAACTAGCACTGTTTAATCAGATTTAATCAATTATTGACTCCTATGTCTTGGAAAGTTACTTGTAAGTTAGTTTAGACTTTTTTTCAAGTGTACTAAGTATTTGCACTGAGAACTAAGCCATAAAAACTTCAGATTTTGTGTTTTTGCAATGCCATGATTAAATGATCTTTAAATGATTGTAATAATTCCCGTTTTCTACTTTCAAGTCCCTTTGAAATCCTGTTTCTCTGTTTTGAAACCATTTCTCATTTTTCATTCACTTGACATCATAAATCAAAGAAAATCCACAAATCCTCTGTTGTTAGGATCCAGATCTTGTTGATGTCTGGACTGTTTGACAAATGACTTTCCGTTGATGTTTCCTCTACATTAGTTAACGTTCTGTAGGTGAGAGTGATGTATTTTTATAAAGCTTTAGGAAGGAGTGATGGATGGCGGGGAAAACAGCTTTTATTTAAACAGAGCCTATATGAGGCTCTTTGTTGTTACGTGCGTGCGTGCGTGCGTGCGTGCGTGCGTGTGTGTGTGTGTGTGGGTGGAGTCACCCTGTGGGTTAACCATTTAAAACAGACTGATGATGACCTCCCACTTTCCTCCTCGTCCGCGGGACATTTTGCGGTTCCCTCCACTGCGAGCGCGTCGGCATCCAGTACAGACGTAACTGGTTCTTCCACACCGGTGCTGGGACGTTTACCCACAGAGGAGGAGCTGGGTTTTAACTGCACTGCAAAAACACAAAATAAAGTACACAAAAAAGTGTTTCTTCTACTTTCTTGTGTGAATATCTTAGTACACTTGAAAAAAAAACTAACTTATTATTTATATTTAGCAACTTTTTCATCAATATTAAATGATTATTGACTCAAAACATGTACATATCTTAAAGTTACATACAAGTTAGTTTTGTCTTATTTCAAGTGTGCTACAAACTAGACCTAAAATACTTCTGTTTTTCCAGTGTGGGGTACAAAAATGCACAATAACACTGCAAAATACAAAATTTTACCAACAACTCTGTCTAGTTTTAAGCACAGATATCTTAGGAACATTTGAAAAAAGACTGTAATTGACTAAAATGGGGGGAAATGTACTCCTAAGTCTTATTGAAAAGTTGTTTAAAGTGTACTAAAACATTTGTACTAGAAATACTTGGTAAAACTTTATGTCTTTGCACTCCTGCCACCATGGCAGAACTTTTTATAGCATTTCAAACAGGGCAGGAAACTCTCAACTGTTGTAAATCTGCAGGGAGTTTAGCCCACCTTGAAAATCAACCCTGTGGAGAAATGAATTGCTTCTCTTTCCAACACTGGAGAGCCATTCATTAAAAGATTAACTCAGATTGTACTGTACTAGGAGGTCACTGTATAATGTATTTATTTATAACATGGTAAAATTATTGACTCGAAACAAGCTCCTGTATCTTTCTGATCTTTTATCAAGCGTGCTAAGAGATTTCACTTGACACTTGATCAAAATATTTGTGTTTTTGCAGTGCAGTGGTTTTCTTCAGTCCATAGCCCCTGGGTGTTTTGGTTCTCTGTCCCTCAGAGATGAACGGAGAACCAGCTCTGGCTCTCTAACGCTTCGGGGGGGGAAACTGTCTGATCCTCCACTTCCTCCCTCCCTTCTCCTCTGCCAGACCCAACCTCCTATCAGGGGAGGAAAATCAGCATGTGGAGCAGAGGAGAGCCGCCTCATACCAACCCTGAGCTCACACACAAGTTGGTCGGCTTCATTTCACCATGATGAAACTCGCTCTCACCTGCTGGTGTTGTTGATCTTTGTGTTCGGTGCAGACCTGACGGTTAAACGGACGCTTTTCTTTTGAGATTTTAATCGGCTAGCTAAAAGCACCTGGACGTGTTTGATTTTGCTTTTGGCTGACATGTTTGAGGCTGACAGGTAGGTTTGTAACATGATTTTATTTGTATAAAACTTCAGGAGAAAGATGTCTCTTAATTTTAAAGGTGACCTATTATTTTAACTTGAATGGATAGGATATGTTTATGGACAATAAAAAACATGCTAATTACATTGTTTGCACAAAATGATTCTAAGACTTTGAGATTTTAGTCAGTTTTAGGGAATCCTGCCATTTTAAATCCAAATTATCTGCTGCTGACCACGCTCCCCAACTCAACATTTACATTCACACGTGAAAATATATGCAAAAAGACGTACAATTATACAACTGCACATTTTGAAAAGCATCGGTAGAGCCTCCTGAACAACCAACCATAATGAAGCAACTGGTTTCTAAATGGTAAGTCAACAAATGAACACTTGTCTTTTCCAGCAGCCATTGTACAGTGCATACAGCTGTAAAACCAACTCACCACAAGCTGGAGCTCAGCTTGCGTCGCTGGGTTACGGTGCAGCGCCTGTCAAATGTGACTTGACAGTCAGAAGGTTTTGAAACCAAAAAGCAAGAACTTATTGCCAGAAAACATTGCGGTGGGTTTTTTTAAGTGCTTGGTCTGTTTTTATAAGCAACAGAATAAAATTGTGCAAAATGTGATTTCTGTACCAACCTTAGCAACCCTGCTTGGGTTGCTAGGTGACGGTGCCAAGCCGGGGTTGCTAGGTAACGGTGGACCACTCCCCCCCTCCCGCCCCCCCACTGCCCCACTCCCCCCCACCCCCCCACCTTCTACTGAATGTGACTCAACATTCTGGAGGTTTTCAAAACTGCTAATTTTCCAGACACCAAAAAAACATGAATGTATTGCCAAAAAACAGCTGTTTGTGCTTTTTTTTTAAAAGAGCTTGGTCTGTTTTTAGAAACAATAGAAACCCAAATGGAAGTACAAAAACATGGAAAATGTGATTTTTTCACCCCAGAAAACAATAAAATGTCATGTTTGGACACGTTTCTACTGAGGCGAGTGGATAGGAGCGGGGTTATTAGTGTGAAAGAGTGATGTTTGAGCTTGTGTTTGTCTCTGGTTGGTCATCTCCAAGGTGACTTTGCAGTGTGATGATTGATTTCGACCCCCTATCGACTGGATCCTGTGTCTGGACAAAGTCCTGCTTTAACTGCATTTGTTTTTTAATTTAAAACAAGGTTGCATACATTATTTCATTCTCTTAGTGTCAAAACATTGTGTTTCTCATATGTACAAAAGGCAGATTATATACTTAAGGATATCCTGTAATGGATCATTTGCACTTTTTACAGATTTCTTACTATTAAATAAGTACATTTTATTTATAGCACCTTTCACAGATAGAAATCACAAAGTGGTTCATGAGTAAAACAAACTAAACAAAGATGCACAGATAAAACTCAACATTAGTAATGTCCTTGGCAGATTATTTCAGTTATAGCACTAGAAATAATAGTAATTAGGAAATTATTCACTTGAAACGAACACAAACGAATCACTTTCATGTAAATATGTTTGCCTGTCTTTTTTCCTGTCACTTTTCAGTTTCCCAACATATAAATCAAGTTTCTCTCTGTTGCGAAATGAACTTAATCACCACTTAGTCTCCTTTTGTAGATAAGTAGTCGCTATATTTATATCAGATCTTATCTTTAGTTCTTCTATTCGTCAGCATTTGACAGGCAGGAACTGGTTTTTGTAATAAATTTCTGTTCTGGTAAAATAAAGAACAGACTCATCTTTTGTCTATTGTGCAGCCTCTTCTTTTCAACAGAGTTGGATAATAACTACTTACATTTAAGATGTGCTTTTTGGACTAGTTTCACTTTATACTTTTACTTTAGTAATTTTGTTATGAAGTATTTCAGGATTTTCTATCCACTGAATGAAAAACAGGAAGTGTTGTGCTGCATTTTTCCAACCCTGCATGCTGGTGCCTAAAATTGTATTTTATTTTATTTTTTGCAGCTATATGACTGATGGCGGTTTGGGTCTCTACACTCGCCGCCTGAACCGACTGCCTGACAGCATGGCTGCAGTTCGAGAGACGCTCCATCGGAACGCGTCGTCAGGACAGGGAGACGCCGACAGGTGGGTACTTTTCTTCTTTCGCTCTGAAAAAACACAAAATATTATCAAGTTTTTAAGTGTAGTTTCTACTGCAAATATATCAGGACACCAGTAATGAGACAAAACTAACTTACAAGTGGCATTTAAGCAGATCTGGGGCTTTTTGGTTTATTATTTTACTTATGCATGTTCTTTAATTTTTAACTTAAATTTTGCTGCTAAATCTGGCTGAGCCCAATTTAAAAAACGAGTTTTAAAACAAAATCACACTGTTTGCTGATGATATTTTATTCATGGGAAAAGTCTTCTTTGATTTTCTTTTCTCCATTTATTATTATTAATCCATCTCACAGGATCCATTTGACAGTAATTATTCCACATGTGAATTGTAAAAATAGTGACGTCTCTTGCGTGTTGGAATCTCAGTGGTTATATTATATATATTAGCGGTGCACCGATCGCATTTTCTGGACAATTTGTTTTCATAATCATCTGATTCTGGCTGATGCACTTTTTTTTTGTCTGAAAAGTTGCCAAGTGCAGCAACAATAGGTATGATTCCATTGACCTTATAATAGCACAATTAATTTTGAAAATAAATTTACTTAATGGCAATAAATCAGTTTCAGATAATCTGAAAGGTTTTAGCTGCATTGAAATTGGCTTATTTTGCAAAACTGCAATGAAAACGCTTATTTCACATCACTTCAGCTGATTAACAACTGGATGTTACTACTGAAGGAAACAACAAAGAAGATGACAGGAAGTGGTTGGAGAATGATGCCAGCATGTGTTTTAGTGACTTATTGCATGAAGACACTTATTCACATGTGATTTTAATTGCATCTCCTGATTCAATGGAAACATCGCAATTGCGAAGTTGTGTTTTTTTTGACATTAGCGAAATGTTGACAAAGATTCAGATTTCCCAAAATTAAGGAAATCTGGGTCAATGTATTGGTTCACCTGTAGTTTATAGTCAGTTGTTTCTCTCTTATCCCTTTAAAAACAGTAGATATTTGTTCTGAAAGTGTAGATAGAAGTGATATTTGCATATGTTATGAAACTTGTGTGTTGACATACGGAGAGAGAAAAATGTCAAACATTGAAACACGATATGTGAGGCAGCACCTGGTTAATATGACCCAGTTTCAGAACCTTTTCAGAACCTGAGGCAGAAAAACTTCTCAATAAGATCATTTAGCTTAAAAATATCTTTCTGGATCTGAATTTTATGTCTCACTTTAAGGCTGTATTCATCGTTTGAGATGTTAGTTCGTGTTGGATGTCACACAGAGAGAAGACGGACAGTTCTGCTCGATCTGTGACAGTTTTGTTTGTGATTTTGCTGCCGCCTTTGTCCTGTCAGACAGTCGGGGAAGGAATTGGCCAGTTGTCAGACAGAAGCGAATAAAGGCTGAGCTGCGCCCCACCATGTAGCCGAAGAAAGATGAGGGGGTTGAAAGAAAGACGGGCGATGGGGGAGGGAATAAAATGATGCGAAGATGGACGGCAGAATGGATGGAGACGGCTCTAAATGAATAAGGGGTAAATTAAGCGAGACAAAGGCCTGCTGTGGATGAAAACAGACGCAGAGTGATTGGTTTGTGCATTTTTTATCCAGCTATCACCAGCTCCTAACAGGAAGGAAAAAAATGTGATTAATTTCTGCTTATGACTAGATTAGTTTAAAGTTTATTTGCATCTATAATCTGAATCTTACAACAGCGTATTTCGGCGACTGTAGAAAGAAAAAAGGGAGTAAATTACAGCCAAAAAATGCAGAAAGTTTTGTATTTATGTCTGAAATTTTCTTGAAAAAAAGAAAAATTCTTTTAACTCAGAAAGTCATAAATAAGCAAAAAAAAATTTAAAAAAAAACTCAGAAATGTTGAGATTACACTCAGAAATTTTCAAGAAAAAACATCCTCATAGCTAGAAAAGTTTGAAAAACTCTAAGATACTTTAGAGAAAAACCTTGGCACTTTCTCTGCTCCAAAAGTCATAAGATTGTGAGAAAAACCTCAGATATTTTGAGATTACTCTCAGAAGTTTTCAAGAAATATTTACTTTTTTTTAATCCACAATGGCACACTAAAAAGTAGCCCAAAACTATGTGGATTTGGTTTTTTGCAGTGCTCCCGCTCTCTCTCACTGTCCTCCCTTTGACTTTCATCTCCCATTTCCTCCCCTCTTTTCATGCATCTCTCCTCTCATCTCTTGGTTCTTCTTTCTTGCTTGTTTTGATTAAAGAGTGTGATAAGTAGAACATGAAAAGCAGCTAAATGATAAAAGTTGGGGGACTTCTCATATTTTATTTTATGTTTCTCTGCGAGGTTTATAATCGGCCGACACTGCAAATGTTGCTTCTCTCCTGAAGCTTCACATTTTTCCATCATGATCATGTTGCGGCTTAATTCTATATTTGGAGAAAAGAGTGGAAAAAGGAGAGGTGAGTCTCCACTCACCGCTCCAGGACTGTCTGATTAATCTCACCTCTTTAAAATTAATGGGATTAATCAGGAGGTTTGGTTCGGATGAGGATTAAGGCCACATGAGATCCAACCCTTTTCTCAGAATTTGGACTTTTCCTGAAAAAATCTGGTTTTACTCCCAGACGAATGACTTTAATCTCAGAATTTTGACTTCAATTTCAGAATCTGAATTTTGTTTCTCAAAATTAGCTTTTACTCTCGAATTTCAATTTCCCCCCCCCCCCCCTCAGAATTCAACTTTTTCCTTTGGAAATTAACTTTTCTTTCAAGAATTTGAACTTTCATTTTCTCAGAATTCTGCTTTTACTCTCAAAATTCCGACTTTATAATCATATCTGTGACTTTAATGTCAGAATTGTAACTTTTTTTCCTTGAAAGTCTTTTCTGCACAGAATTCCAGCAGTTTTTTACTCAGAATTCAGATTTTTTTTCCTTCAGAATACCGGTTTTACTCTGAAAATTTGAACTTTTTTTCTTGGAAGTTTGACGTTTTCTTCAGAATTCCGATTTTTTTCCTCAAAATTATGATTTTACTCGCAAAATTCTGACTTTTTTTCCACAGGATTCTGACTTTATAGTCCGAATTTTGACTTTAATCTCATAAGTTTAAGGTCAGATTTCGAGGAGAAAAGGTTTTTTAAATTTTTTACAGTGGCCCTAATCCTCTTTCATAATTTGGGGAACGATTGTATAAAATGCATTGGCACACTGGAGGAAAGTCCTGGAGCTGCTGGGTTAAGAAGGGTCACTGGTTTCCTCTTGTAAAAGATGAGGCTAATTTATTTGATGAAAAGCGAGTTAATGATGCAGGTAGATGCAGCAGTGTTCATGTTCAGGACTTTAATTTACGAGCTTCACACAAAAGTCCAGGCATCTGTGCGATCTGTTGTGGATTTCTCTGACCTATGCGTTTCCTTCTGTATTCTCTGGATTGCGAAGCAGCCAAGTGTTCAGGAGAAGCAGGCGGCTGAAGGGCGGGAGGTGTCGGGCGCTCACGTGACGCTGGGGTAAAAACGCCATGACCCCTGAACTCTCAGGTCACAGGCTTCAAAGGGCTGAGGTTCACATTTAGGAAAACCTTTAAAGCTTTCACGCCGAATGTTTTCCGATCAAACCAGACCTAGACTAATGAGCAGACGGGGGAGAAACATGACGTGTTGCTCAGCAGCTGTGCAAAATGACTAACATATTTAATGTACCTGAAGTAAGTGGAACCAAAGCTGAGTCATGAAACAGCAGACCGTTAATGTACAATAGACAATAGAGAATAGAAACTGTACTTATGTGTAAGAGAGCTTTCTTATCCTGTCATTAATCTCTGTGGCTGAGAAAAGAGGAAGCAATCTATTATGGTCTGTCCTCCGGTTTGAATCCTCTTTGTTAAAGAAGACAAAGAAGAAGAGGTCTTTGTTGTCTGAAACTGCTGTGGGAACACAAAGCACCCACCCCCATCTTTTTCTCTTTTGTTTTTTTTTCTTACTAATAGCTGTGTTTACATTTTGCAAATTGGAATTATGAAAATACATTTGCTTAATGGAAACACAGCAATTAAAAAAAATCACGCTTTTCAATGGAAAGTGTTTTTTTCGCATCACACAAGTCATGTGATCAACAACAGGATGTTGCTACTTGCGGAAACGACAAAGAAGACGATAGGATGATGGTATGTTGGGTATGTTGTGCTTTTTACTGCATGAACAAACTTACGTGATTTTTATCGCTTTCCTTTCGTAATGGAAACATTACAACTGTGAAGTTGTGTTTTTTTTCTTTCTACATTCTAGCGGGATATTCACAAGGTTTTTGCACATTTGTAATGGAAATGCAGCTGTTGAGTATCATTTGTCTGTTGCACACGAGGAAATAAATGTTCATTTGTTTAAAAAGTCAAAAGAAAGTAAACAAGAGAAGTGTCGGGTTAAGAGCTTTCGTGTGAGAAGCTTTATTTGTGAAAGGCTGCAGCTTCCAGGAAGGGGTCGTTCATGGGAAGGAGAAAGAAAAAGATGTATTTAGATTTTTTTTTTTTTAGTTTAAATAATTCATTTTTTATTTGCCCTAAAGCATTTTATCCTTTGAAAAAATTTCCCTATATGGAAAATCCGCTGCATTGATTCTGATAATGAATTTGTGATCCGTAACAAGCCAAAGTGATTTTTTTCACTGAGGAACAGCCTGCTGTAGGATTAGTTTTTGCTGGCCTGTGCAGTGTTTTTGTTTTTTAGGCATTGTGTGATGCATCGTAAAGTAAACTCAGTCTAATGCACCAACAGACTCCTTCATCAGCGCTCGTTAAAGCCTGATCCCTTCTGCCGCCGTCCCTTTGCATTGTAAACTTCATGCTTTTGTGGACATCTTTGCATTTCTTCGCCTTTTCAGACTCACTAAGCAAATAAAACAAATGCTTCCCACTAAATCTCTCAACAACTAATCTCTTAAGTCCTTTACACTGCATAGAAAGACTCATGATTTATTATTCCACTAGTAATAGGGAGAGGAAACTGCAGGCTTTGTTTGAGTTGTACCTCG